AGGTGATGCTGAAAACTGCTCAAATTCCTGAAAAAGCTATTCCTTATATAGAACCTACTTTGGTAAAGCCCACACAGGCACAAAGCACAGAAAGACATCCACCTTCTAAGTTAGAGACTAATCAATGTGCCCATAAGGAACTCAGTGTTTCTCCATCTGCTCAAACGCTGCTGGTAATTTCTTTACCTACAAAAGGAACTGTAGAATTTTGGCAATCTTCCCAGGAATCTAGGATTTTCCCTATCTGAACAAGGGTCTCTAAAACTATCTATATCAACACAATGAATTGTAGGGACTCTGCTACCGTCTAATATGGCTTTGAAACATCTAATTTCTTCCCAATAGTCTAAAATTTTTCTTCATCTATCCAACATACTGTAAGGATTACAAGGAGTACAGAACATAACAAATCTAGCCAGAAACATCAGGGAAATTTTTGTCTTCAATAGAACATTTACCATTTTCTCTAGGTGCTCAGGAAAATCCTTTATATAATCCATGGTCTCTAGGAAATTTGCTATTTTGAAATTTCCTAAAGTAGTCTCGAGAGCTACAGAGGTAACTTTGCTTGCCCAAGTACTTTGTCTTTTATGCAAAGTCTTCAAAACAGTCAGTATATTCTTCAAAAATTTTGAGGCAATAGCAATATTCCCAGAATACCTTGGTACATTTTTCAAGTGTGAGAGAGGGTGTGGAAACGTCTCAGTCTGCTACAAGCATAATAGAAACTTGGTAACAAACTCTAATGCCTAGATGATTTCTAAGTTCTGCCATAAATCTGCAGAATTTTTTCCCTTCTGGCTAAGGGAATATAAGAGCTTTGGAACCTTCATATGGTCCTCTGGAACATGTTATATCATCTGCGGAAATACTGAAATTAGCATAATTAGCTGAAGAGACTCTGCAAATTTCTACACTTTTCAAAGCAGTTCCAGTGCCATATAAATATTCTCCATCTACCCAAGTGACCAGGGGAACATTCCATGTGTACCAGGGCATCTGGGTGTTTTGTCATCAAGATAAACAACTCCAGCATCTTCTTGTTCTGATGAAATGATTGTGGGAACATGCCCACGATCACAAGGAACTCTGAAAATGTCCAAATCTGCACAGGGACTCTTAGAGTGTTCCTATGCTTCAAAGGACACTGTGAAGAGTCTCATATTTGCCAAAGACACGATTGGAAATTTGACATCTGTAAGAAATACAGTAGGACATTTTGCATCAAGGACAGAGCCTCTGATGTTTATACAAAATACCCAGACTCTGATAGAATCTTTGCAATCTAGTCAGGTATATTTGTGAGTGTCAGGGTGCAGAAGGGCTTGTGGCACCTTCTTTATCCCCAAGGGTCTTTGGACATATCTGTGTCTGCAAAAGGAACTCTAGTGGCATTGCTGTGCAATCAAGGAACGAGGAAGCATCCTGCTACATCCCAAATGCCTCAGAAAACTTCTCAGTCTGTGCAAAATCTTTACAGTATGTACCATCTGTCCCCGAATATCCGAAAACTTCTCAATCTGAAAAGAGCACACGAGGATCTTTGTCCTCTCTACGAGGTACTGGAATATCTAGCTCAGGTTCTCAGGAAATATTCCAAATTTCTGTGAGTTCAGGATATCCTGAACATTTTCTATATTTTGGATCACCTCTGGAAATTTCTTTGTATGCACATGGATCTCTGTGATTTTTTCATTTCCTCATGGGGAACGTTATCTTTACCTCATTTTTTTTTTTTGCTAATCTATAATCATCTCAACTTGTCGGAATGAATCTCAGCCATTTGTCTTCTGTCAGAGAGCCTGTGGATATCTGTCCATTTATCCCAGGTCCTACATAGTCTTCACCATTTAATAAAGTGCCTAGAAGATTTTCATCACATGTCCCAAGTAATCCAGCATTTCGAATCTCTGCTCATCTGCCTCTAGAAGTTAATGTATCTGATCACTGAGTCCATCAGCATCCTCAAAAGGAACTCTGGGGCCTTTGTTATCTTCTGCAGTCATCCAAGGAAAAGTCCAAAATACAAATAGTTATCACGGGCAATGTCACATAAAAGAGAGACATTAGAAACTTCTCCATCTCATGAAGGAAGTTCAGTATATGATCCTTGTCCTCAGGAGACTCTGGGACTTTACTCCTTTTCCCAGGTGAGTTAATCAACTTCTCAATGTCCTCAAGAAACTTTAGGTTCCTGTGTATTTACACAAGGTTCTGTCCACACTGCACAAAGGAGTCTAGGACAACCAACATGCTCAAGGGCTACCAGGAACTTCCTCATATACACAACATACATTATCAAGTTACCCTCTGCACAAAGTACATTAGCACATGCATCATGTACCGCAGAGTCTCAGGGATATAGCCAGCATGCCAAAAATGGTAGAAACTTTGAAATCTATTACATGGTCTCCAATATTTTTGTAGAACTTTTGCTACCTCCCTGGGACTCCCCAAGATATTCATCATCTTCATCAGGTATATGCAAAAGTTCTACAACTACCAGATGACATGTGGAATCTGATGAGCCATGGGAACATTCTGTATATGCCCCAGAAAACTTGAGTTATTTCCATTCTTTCCAGTGCCTTTTGAAATCTAAACTGTCGGAAGAAGAAACTTTTCGTTACTCTAAACATATGCAAGGCTATCTAGGGCCCTCTGTTTCATTCTATGGGACCTCTTGGATATTGGAATTCTGCACAAAGGGTTCACCAAAAAGATCCATCTGCTCCAGACACCTTAGGAACTTTGACTTCTTGAAAAGGGCAAATGATGATTCCTTTATCTGGGCAAAGCACTCTATCCTCTTTCCTAGAGTCATTGGAAATTTCCTTATCTGTTCAAGTGAGATCCAGACATTCATTATCTTTACTAGAAGTTGTGGAATCTTGCCTTTATTCATGTGGAAAAAAGAACTGGAAGTTACTACCTGTGCACATGGAAATCTGGTGTTATCCAATTGCTCAAGAGTGGATTTGAGATCTTCATTATCTACTCCCATGACTCTAGGATTTTTTCCACATAACAAAGTGGATTTAGGAATATCTCCAACTGTTTCATGGATGCTCAGACCTCCTGTGTCTACTCAGGCTGTTCCAAGAACACCTACATCTTCCAAAGAGGTATAGGAATCCAACGTTAATCAGAGGAGAACAGAGACTTTTCCATATGCCAATGATGATCTCTTTCATATGAACAGATGCAAATTCTTAATTTTCCAAGTGGAAATTAAAAGACTGGTCATCTGCCAAAGGGGTGTTTAAAACTGTTCTGTCTATTTCAGGGCCTGTAGAAAAATTTCTATCTGCCTCAAGGACACAATGGCTTTTCAGTTCTACACTCCAACATACTGGGAGCTTTTCTCTATCTTCCCAAAATAAATCAGAACTGTACACACCTACTACAAGCATCTAGAATCTTCCCCAAATGTCCAAACTTACCTAAAACATTCTCTATTTTCCCACGAGTCTCTGGGACCTACTCCACCTACACCAGGTACTCTGAACATTCCCCACTTGTTCAGTTGTGGTAGAAAATACCTGTATACACAAAAGTGACTCTAGGATAAACAACACATCAGAAGGCATATGAAGGACGTTCATTATCTCTCCAAGGTACTTTGTGATAGTCTATATCAGGACAAGAGTCTCTAGGACATTGCCCATTTGTCCAAGGGTCTACAGAATCTTCTAGACCTTCCCACAAAGTGCAAGACACTTCTTATAATCAAGGGTTTGTGGCAACGTTCCCATCTCTCCCACAAGAAACACATATTTCCTGCCCAGGGAATATTGTAATATTTTTCAGCTTCTCAAGTTATTCTAGAAACATCTTCTTCTCTCCAGAAAGTAGAAGGTTCTTTAGATGTGCACGGTGCTCGGCAACTTCAACCTGATTCACAGAGTAGTTGGGAAATTCCCAATGGATTCCAAAGTCATCAGAAACTATAACATCTCGCCTAATGGTTTTTAATAGTTCAGAGTTTTCATCTGTGAGTCTTGAAACATTGACACCACTTCCATTTAATCTGGGACTTTCAATGTCTGTCCTAAATACTCTGTACCTTTCTGGTTCTGACTAATAAATTCAAGAAACATCATCTCTCCAAAAATCTGTCCAATTTTCTCTATCTTCTAAATGTTCACTGAGACCTACCCCATCTGTACTAGGGACCTCCCAATATTTATTATCAGCTCAATTGTACTCAAAATTGTCTAGAGCTGCCAAACAGATTCTCAGATTATCACCACTTAAGTAAGGGTGTTTAGGAGATTCATTACCCAGGCTCTTGGAATTTCCATATCAGCACAATCATTTGTAGGACATTCAAAATCTGAAAAAGAACCTCTAGAAATGTTCATATCTTCTCAAGAAGACCTAGAACCTTCTTTATCTCAACAGGCTGGTGTACATTCATCATATATTCCACAAGATTGTGGACCTTCTCAGTCTTAAAAAGATCCTTTAGGAACATCAATATCTACACATGGTGCTCTCCAAAAGTCTATAGTAACAGCACCATTACTAGCTCAAAGTGTTCCAAAAATTCATGCTTCTTTGGAGTGGCCTCTGCGTTCTTCGGAATATTGCTAAAGAGACAACAGTTCCTTTGCCATTTTATATAGAGATTTGTAGTATTTTGAAATCTCTCTCAAGGTCTATAGACACTCTGACATCTATTTTAGAGACAATGAGATTTTCAACATTTGCCAAAGGTGCACAGGCCTTCTATAACTGAACAAGTGACATTGAGATAACCAACAATTTCTTATAGAGCTCTGGGATTTTGTCCATCTAACCAACAATTTGTGAATACTGCCTCATCTCAAAGGGGGCCTGATAGAATTTCATTTATGGACAAAGATATAAAACAAATGTGTTCATGCAAACAGTTTACTTTATGAAACCACTGAAGCAAAACTGTCCAGTAAATGCATTGTCTGCACAAGGGGCTCTAGGAATGTCCGTATCAGCAAAAGAATCTCTTTGACACTCACCATTTTTTCATAGTTCTTCAGATACTTCCCTGTCACTTGAAGAGGCTTCAGGCACTTGTTTGGAACAAGGGCATCCAGGGCAGTCCTTATCATTAGCATTATCTGATCTAGGAGACCTTGGGCTATCTGAATATTCATGGGGGCACTAGAAACACCATGATCTACCTACCCATAGCACTCTAGAAATACCATCTTCTACCAAAAGGAATATAGAACTACACCACCTCTCCAAAATACTCTAGCACATCTCCTTTATTAAGTGCAGATTGTAAAACAGGCTCCTGTATGCCAGAGACATCAGAATATTTCATCTACCAAAGAGGCTTGTAATATATCAGACTCTTCCCCAAGAACTTCAGAAACTTTTCCATTTACCTCACGATCTCTGGAAATTTCATTTTCTGCCAAATCACAGTGGGACCATGTATATCTGAGAAAGAAATTTAGGATCATCAGTATCTCTGGAGGAATCCCTGAAAACTTCTACTCCTGAGCAAGCATCTATGGGTTCCACTCCACCTGCATCAGGAAAGATGGTCACTCTCCCTCTCAGAAAAAATGTTGTCCGGACACATCTTTAGGTTTACAAGAGGATTCACCAACTCAGAAAACCTAAGCCGGAATTTTATGATTTCACAAAAGGCTCTGAGATTGTCTATTTCAGCAGATAGACATTCAATAAATGCTTTTGGGTCTCCAGATATTTCCTTATATCTAAATAGGCTTCAGGCACTTGTTTTGAACAATGGCATTAAGGACAGTCATTATCATTATCTGACCTAGGAAATCTTGGACTAGGGAATACTCAAAGGCCCATGAGAAACATCACCATCTACGCATAGCACTCTAGAATAGGCATCTTCTACCCAGGGGATTATAGATACTTCAGCACCTGCCCAAAATGCTGTAGCACATATGGGTCTTTCAGTACAGATTCTAAAATAGGTCCCCCTTATGCGAGAGACATAAGAAATTTGGTATCCCCCAAGAAGCTGGTAATATATCAGACTCTTACCTAGGGATTTCAGAAACTTTTCCGTCTACCCTAGAAACTCTCAAAATTTCATTCTCTGGCCAAAGTACTATAGGACCATCTGTATCTGCAAAAGAAATTTTTGGACCATCAGTATCTCTGGATGAATCTCTGGGACCTCCTCCACTGGACCTAGGTTTTCTAAGACCCACTCTACCTGCATCTGGGACTTGGTCATTATCCCATTCAGCACAACATTGTCAGGAAATATCTTAACTTGTACAAGTAGATTATCCTCTCAGCAAGGCTATACAGGAAATTCCTTGCATTCCCAAAAAGCTCTGGGACAGTCTATATCAGCATAGGAATCACTTGGACATTCATCATCTGCTCAAGAGTCTCCAGATAATTTTTTGTCCTCCCAAGGGGCTTCAGTCCCTCCTTTGACACTTGAGACTTTAGGACATTCATCATCTGACACTGGAACGCTTCAACTTTCTTACTCTCATTATGGTACAATTAAACTCCACCATTTCACAAAAGTTTTCTAGAAATAACATCTTCTTACAATAAGGTTACAGAAACTTTAACAACTTCCCAAGATTCCTTAGAATATCAACCTCATTCAATGTAGACTCTGCAACCTTCCCTTACACAAGAGACCTCAGAAACTTTGCCAACAACAAAAGAGGTTTGTAAGACCTCAGATACTGTGTCAGGTGCTTTAGAAACTTTACCACTCTTTGTAGAGGCTCTGAGACATTGTAATTCTGAAAAATGTACTCGAGGCCCTTCAGTATATAACCACAAGAATATGCAGCCCTCAAGACCTATTTATTTTACATTTGGAAATACCAAACCATCACAATGTGATGTGGGAGTGATTTCTTATTAATAAAGAAACTGCCTAGACCCATTTGATAGGCCAGCCCTTAGGTAGGCGGAGTAAACAGAACGGAATGCTGGGAGAAAGAAGCTGAGTCAAGGAGTCGCCATGATTCTCCCACTCCAGACAGACGCAGGTTAAGATCATTCCTGGTAAGCCAGCTCGTGGGCTACACAGATTAATAGAAATGGATTAGATCAATATGTAAAAGCTAGCCAATAAGAAACTGAAACTAATGGGTCAGGCAGTGTTTAAAAGAATACAGTTTCCGTGTAATTATTTCGGGTAAAGCTAGCCGGGTGGCGGGACACAGCCCACCGCTCGTATTTCAACAACAATGCCTTCTAGAACCTATACCATCTACCCAAGAAAGAGTGGGAACTTTCTTTTCAATCCAGTCTTTAAGAATGTCTACTTGTGCACATGACAGTTCATTCCTATTCCTTCTCATGAGACTGTCTGAGCTCTTACTCTTATCACAATAAAAGCCATAGAAGTTCCAATTCAACCAAAAAATAGTGAAGCATGCTTCATTTATTAAATGAAGTATCAGATATTTACTTTTGAATTGGATGCCTTAAGATCATTCACGTCTGCCAAAGGAAGGCTCGCACTTGCATATATATATCAGAAAGGACTCATGCTCTACCGCTACCCCTCCCAGGATTGTTTCCAAACAAAGTATCATCAGAATTGAACTTCAAATCTAGTTCCACTCCTACAAAATATCAAAGATGTTCTCTGTCTCGACTAGGTGGTTCAAAACATTTGTAATCAAAGAAAACAAAATCAAAACTTGATTCTAAAGAATCATGCCTCAAATCTGTGCCAACAGAAGATGAAGGCTTGAAATTTCACCATTCTCCCAAAAACGGGGCAGAGATATTGTTTCTATCAATATTGCTGCAAGGATTAACACTGAGCCTAAAGAGAGCCTCACTACTACTTCTGCAAAGGGAGTTTGAAATCCTCACAACCTTATTAGGAGGGCCTCAGATTTTCTCCTTCTTCCCAAGGAATTCATAGATATTTCAAATCTACCAAAATCAAATTGGAACAGGTCCCTTCTAACATGGAAGTTGTTCATGTTTCCGATTCAGAACATAAAGGCTGCCTAATATGCTCTTTGTCCAAAATAGAGTTCAAGGATTCACCCTCCAAAAGTGAGCCAGAAACAAAAAGCTACTCCTCAAGTGTGCATAGAACCTTCCATGTCTAAGGGAGGCTGCAGATCCTTGCAATCACATGAGAAGTGTGGTAGAGGTATTGCTTCTCCCAAAGGCAGCCATCAATATTCAAGACCTATCAAAACTAAATTAGAACCAGCTCTAACAAAGCAGATATTCATGCTTCCCATAAAGAACATGGGGGCTGTAATCATCTCTCTTTGTCACAAAGAGGATTTAGATATTTTTCATCTCCAAAAGGCAAAGAAACCAGTCTGCCAAAGATAATCAGACAAACACTTATGTGATCCATGGGATCTTACAACTTTCTGCTTTTAGATCACAGGACAGAAGGTGGAAAGAGAAAATTGACTCTTAAGCCATCTGTCTCCAAATATGTTTTCAAAAATGCACTGTTTCTTAATATTCTTTCTTTAACCAGTGTATTTAGTGTTTTGATTATTATATGGTGAGGGGATGATTTTCTTTGATCCAGTAATTTTGGTTTTCGGTATGCTTCTTGACTATTCAAAGAAATCTCAAGGTCCAAATCAGGAGCAGAAGTAGAGAGAGAGAACGAGCATGGAACTCAGGAACGCGAGGGGTGCACCCAAACACTGAGATAATGGGGATGTTCTATCGTGAACTCACCAAGCCAGCTGGCTTGGGTCTGAAAAAAACTGGGATCAAACCAGACTCACTGAACATAGCAGGCAATAAGGACTACTGAGAACTCAAGAACAATGCCAGTGGGTTTTTGATCCTACTGCAAGTACTGGCTTTGTGGGAGCCTAGGCAGTATGGATGCTCACGTTACTAGACATGGATGGAGGTGGGTGGTCCTTGGACCTTCCACTGGGCAGGGTACAATGATAGCTCTATGGCTGACAAGGAAAAGGAATTTGATTGGGTGAGGGGGAGGGAAATAGGAAAAGGTGGTGGGGAGGAGACAGAAATTTTTAATAAATAAATAAACGGACATAAACAAAAAAATGCAGTGTTTCTATATGTACAGATATGTACAGCTCAACACATCAATGAGGAAACATTAATTCTTGCATTACTACTTAGGCTCTTGGAAGATTGTTATGAGATTTCTTAGACTATCAAATATTTCTCATTGGGTATGTATGTTTGCATTGTGAAAATTAGCTGGATGCTAGTGCAGAGCCAGACTCTTATTGATTACCCATGATGCCTTGCGACCTTCCACTTTTGATCCTGGATGAATTGCATATTACTATTTTACCAAATATGACTGGAGCACACCTCTTTTTGAATAAAAACAATTGGGATTTCTCATTTGCTGAAGATAGTCTCATAACTTTACATTCTAAGAAGAGGTTTTCTGTAGTCCTGTTTCCAAGAGACCTCATATATACTTTGTTTAATGAAGGTTTCATGAGAACTACCCTGTGTAAAACTGGGCCATCATCCTTTTCTCCATTAAGAATGTGTACTTACACCTAATCCACCTATCTCAGGAAGATTAGGAAGCATTGTCTTTGACTCAAGGAAACTCATACATTCCTTTTATTCACAAGGTGACATTTGAGATGTTATTTTGAATAATACTGCATCCTACCTTGTAGGATTCTGTCAAGAACTCTCAAGAATTTTATTCTGTTTTAAACTAACTCCAAAATATGCTGCTCTAAATAAAAATGATTTAAACCTTTAATATTTGGTACAGGTAGTTAGTGAAATGCATTGCTCCCTGTAGGTTTTGGGTCCCTGTCATAACTTTAAAATTAGAAACTGAATCCTAAGCTATGTTTTTCAATCAAATCACCTGAAATCAACTGGCCTCATCACTGCTGCCCATACATGGAATAAGTAAACAACCAGAGAAAGAAGAAAAAACCTAGCTGCTGACGGGCACCAAGGCATAATGAAGAAAGCTCTTGCTGATGCCTAACTCTCTAAGAGACAAATAAAGATAAGAAAGCTCTAAAGAAGTATTGGAAGTTAAAGTGCAATAATGGGACCTTACTTATCTAAATGGGTTAGTAAGAACATGTACCTACAACAGGATGGTGAATAATACTTCTCCCTTGTGTGCAAGGTTTTTCCAACGTATACACTTGCCCTACAGAGGTCTCAAAATTTACCC